ATGCCCAGAAAATCTCTTTTTAATGAAACCAGTGGATAAATAAATTTGTGCATGCTTAATTCTTCCTTATAAAATAGTAGAGGCAAACATCATTACAAACATATCTATATAAAGTCTGATTCCTCAAGTAAAAGTAGTATTTTGTCACCACATTGCTCTCAGTCTATGAATTAAGTCATTTTTCATTTATTTATCACGTAGATATTTTGAACTCAGTACTTTGAACCATGTGTTTTGATGGTAAACAAGATATAAGGTCAATTACATTACTAAAATTGGTCTCTTGATATTCACTTGGAACTTTTGGTCTCCTGGAATTTCAAAATAAAGCCTTCCCCCTCCAGTCAAGTTTTTAAACATGCTCCATAGTAAGAGAATTTTTGAGGCCCTCCCCCCACCCAGCAATATATAAGGATTAATCCTTTGATTTTGGAGTATGATGTATAGAAGACCAGGTAACCTCAGAACATGCAGCCGTTGTTCTGAGATATTTGGTATCTTTAAGTGAAGTAACAATCCAATTTCGCAGAAGAAAATAGAGGGAAAACAACAGAAAAAGGGCATAAGGAGAAATGCTACCACCTTGAATAAAGTTGGATTCTCTTGGAACTTCAGTCATCTGAAGTTGGCATATTGTCCCAAGTCAAGGCTACAAAGAGCTTTATTCTTAGGGTGGTGCTCCCTATAACCAGCACTGCTGGGATTTACTGGAGAACCTCAAAAGGGGGATTCGTTTGTTTCTGGGGACTGTTTCAGTAGGATTCTAGAGAATTCTGGTTAGGTGGAATATAACTGGAGATGTGTTCCTCATTGCAATTGATGATATTTACAATAATTTGAAAGCAATGTTTTGTATATTTCAAAGGTGTTGTAAACACTGTAAGGTCAGAAACAGTATTGCATATCAATAGCACTAGCTAACATTGAGCTTACCATCTGACAGGTGGCACTGTGCTAAGTATTTTACATGCATTATCTCATGTAATTTATAAACAGTGCTATGAGATATGTATCTCTTAAATTTTTTTGGTGGAAAAATTTGTTGACTTTCTAAAGTATTCAGCCCAACACAGAGATATTGGGTGCTTACTATGTGCCAGGCACTGTGCTGTCTACTGTGGCAGAATGGGGCAGTGTGGTGAATGGTAAAATGCAATATTTTCTGTTAATAAATGATACTGGTCTAAAATTGGCCATGATTCCCTCTGGTCATAGTATGATATATGAAAAGAAATGAAAATTTATTAAAATATTAAAAAAGTTAAAGTGTTAAAACCATTTTTGTTAAGAATGGGGGAAAATCAAACTTGCCAATTTGAAAACAGAATTTATATTATCTATATTTACTTGAGTTCGGATTTTTTTACTAAAAGTTAACAAAGTAAATTTATAATGGCTTAATTTTAAAAAAAAGACCCTCTTTCCTCTCTCGAAGGGGAACTATTACTTGAGACAGATTTGCTTAGCTCATGGAATTAAAGATTTCTCATAGGAATAAACTGAATATCCCAGGTAACTGGCAGGAGATGGAAAATCACCATTCATAGTTTTTAAAATATTATTTATACATATTATTTATATTCTGATGCCTAAAACTACACTCTGGAATGTAGAAGCAGATATCTCAGGGTATTTCCTGTTACATACCATGGTGTCAAGCCGCCCAATGACTTCAAATGAAAAATCCACACCGCCACCACTCATTTCCTTCAGCACATCCTGGATGGGTTCCTTGTAGTCCTGAGGGCTGATACACTCAGTGGCACCCACCTCTTTGGCCTTTGCAAATTTGTCTTTGTTGATGTCCACCCCAATGATCCTGGCTGCTCCCGCTGCTTTACAGCCTATGATCACAGACAGGCCGACCCCTCCAAGGCCAAACACCGCACAGGTGGAGCCCTGGGTGACCTGTGTTTGCAGAAAATGCAAAAATGGATTAAATAATGATTATTAGAAAGTGCCTAAGCTGCATAAAATGCCATGCCTTGTCCGTTATGGAGATGCTATTCAAACTCTTAGGTCCAACCTTCTGCCAAATCTCTTTTGGCTTTAGTTGCTTCATGTTTAAATTAGGGGGGTTGAACTAGATGAGTGGTTCTCAAACTCTGCTGGACATTAGACTCACCTGGGGAGGTTTAAAATATCTCAATGCCCAGGTCGCAGCTCGTAACCAACTCCATCAGAATCTCTGTAGGTGGGACCCAGTTCCCAGGTGACTCCAATGGGAAGCCCAGGGTTGGAGCCAGTGGATTGGATGGTCTTTAAGCTCTAAATGCCAGTGACTACCATCTTGAAGAGACTCTAATAGCTCAAATCCATTGACACCCAGCTTTATTATATCACACACAGAAATGCAAGTTTTGGGAAATGAAATAATAAGTGGAAAAGATTACTCTGGGATACTGAAAAATAATCCAATCAAATTCTTAACAATTAGCTCCTTGGTTCATTAACTTTCAGTATCATGACAGTATCACAAGAGCAGAAATTAGCTGTGCAACATAGAAAAGTTATCCTTAGCTTAGAGGAAAGCCTAAGAACAGGGGAAATTTAACAGATAACTAAGATAATACAGCTTGAGACTGCTGTGATCTTGTGGGTCATTATCCCTGCTTTTAAGAATATACTTATAAACAATATGCACTGAAAAATTGGTCTGTATTTTATTAATGGCTGAGATTAATTATTACAAGTTCCCTCAGCTTCTGCTCTGTGTAGGCTCAGTTAGACCACCTGCTCAAACAGATGATGTAATTGCACAAGGGACTAAGCGCTAGAGCCACAGAAATTTGGAAAACAAGTGCTCTCAATTATTTAAATTGGCTAGGGACTGTTAGTAAACCTAAACTGCTATAGTCAGCCTTCATCATGGGTAAAATATTTCTTCTATCCCAAGTAATCATTCTGTGGGATACAATACCACTTTTTACCTTGTTTAGAAAAATTTGAGACTTGTGATTGTGATTTAAAGGTAAAGGTAGTTATGTATCATGGTTTAAGATTCAGCCGGAGTTTGGAGAGAAAAGCTAGTTGCAGCTCTCATACTAACCAGCTGTGAGATTTTGGGCAAATAGCTTTATGTCTTTGGGCCTCCATTTCATAAAATGAAGGAATACTGCTACATTTCCAACCTTTTGGGAAGAGGAGCCTTTGAAGAATTTCTCTTTAAAATCTACCACCTCTGACCTCTGTGTGTATATGTGTGTGTGTGTGTGTGTGTGTTCATGGCAGGAGGCGAGATGTAAACAGTGAAATCCCCTAATGACTGGAATAAATGCAAAATGCATTATTGAAGCTTCATTACTTCCCTTATAGGGATCCACAGAGTGGGTGGGTTGGTGACTCTTGGTTTGGAGGTGTACCAGATAAGGCTTTGGAATCTACTGTTGATCCTAATTCTGGGAGTAGAGGATCCATGGACTAGATGCTCCTCAGAGGTGACCCCTTCATTTACTTCTGCTGCCTCAAAAGCTAGCAAAATCTACTATACCTGATGCATGTTGGTGCTTACAGTACAATAAATTACTAAATGAGCTCCCAGGTCTAAAACTTAGTAATCACATAAAGAACAAATATAGAAGAATAATTGTTGAAAATTATATCTTTACCTTTTTTTAACTAAGCATCAATAGCTTTTTCATCTGTGACAAACAAATTTTCTAGGAAATGCTCCTCAATTCCTTCTGAAGCCATTTTCCCCAATCATAACTGATATCCTAAATTTTGTAGAGTATATCAGTGTTATTGTGGTAACAGGGTGGAAAGCTACCAGTAAATCTATGAAAAATGATCTCTGATTACTTTGAGAAATTGCTGTCCTTTTAGTTCCTGATAGTCTGAGTACAACCGTTTTTTTTTTTTTTTAAGATTTATTTATTTATTTGAGAGAGTGAGAATGAGAGAGAGTACATGAGAGGGGGGAGGGTCAGAGGGAGAAGCAGGCTTCTCGCTGAGCAGGGAGCCCGATGCGGGACTTGATCCCGGGACTCCAGGATCATGACCTGAGCCGAAGGCAGTTGCTTAACCAACTGAGCCACCCAGGCACCCGAGTACAACCGGTTTTATCATCCATTGTCGTTCCTACCTTGGCAATGTTGATTGCAGACCCATAACCAGTAGAAAATCCACAGCCAATGAGACAGACTTTCTCCAATGGTGAGGCTGCATCAATCTTGGCCACTGCAATCTCATCCACCACCGTGTACTGGGAGAAGGTGCTGGTGCCGATGAAATGGTAGATGGGCTTTCCTCTGCAGGTGAACCTGGTAGTACCATCCTGCATGATCCCCCGAGGTGTGCTCAGACTGGCCAATACAACACATAGACACACAGGGCATGAAACAGGAACATAACTGATGCACAAATCCATTGGCTGTGTAAATAGAGTATCAGAAACTTACTCATTTTTCAAGCAGAAGTTGCCTTGTGGGTGTTTACAAACAATGCATTTTCCACACTGGGGAGTAAAGAGTGGAATGACTTTGTCACCTGGAGGGTATAAAACACATTCTTCTTAAATTTCTACCCAGGAATTCATAGAGCAAGAACTGGAAGCTTATGTGTATGTGTTAGAGGTGTGTGTCTTTGAAAAATCTCCAAGAGATAGAATTCATTCACCACCATGTCACTGGTCAGTGCCTGCCAGCACCGTTAATGGTTTGGGTTTGTATGTGCCTGAAGATTCCCAAAGAGGAAATACAAATATTGGGAACAACGTGGATTTAAAAGACTGTTGCTCCTGTATTAATAGTTCTCTTTCGTTGTGTGCCTTTTCTCATGGGGGTTTTATACATACCATCTCATAAATCCTTGACAATTAAACCTTAAATATTCTCACTGTAACTGTAAATATAAATGTTAGCTGTGATCAGGCTACCATCATTCCACCAGATGCCTGGGGGATCCAGTAGTTTGTAATAGTTTGGGACAAAGTAAAAATGAGTATTGGCTTTTCAAAGTGACTGTGCTTTTAGGGTTTTCATTTTGTTTTGTTTTTTAAGGGAAAACTAACAAAAATGGGACAAAGAAGAATTCAAGAAATCCCTCTGTCAACCTCAACAATGAGTTAGGCACTCTCTTTGAGGATAAAAACTGACTTTTGGATGTTTGTAGCTGGCAACTTAATTGGTAAATTATTTTTTCTGCTTTGGTAGAAGGAAAAGTAAGTGTGTCATTTATTATTTATTTATTTCTAACTAAAGGAAATATTAAGAGCTGAAACTCAAACCAGATCATTTATTTTATTATTTTCTGTTCACAGGCCAATTAAGTATATGGTAAGGGAGAGGCCACATTTACTGGTAAAGTTCTTCCCACCTAAGAGGAGATCATGTTGATTTAATCATAGCCTCATGGCTTCCATCCTGTGAAATCAGCAAGGAACAGTTTCCATACACTGATTTGGAGGCTCAGGACATAGACTTAATTTTTCTTATTTTGTATCATTTATAGTTCTCTTTGGGCCTGACAGAAGACAGTACTCAGCAACACTAAGATGGAAATTATTTGTTTATGAACTCTAACTTTGGCAGGCACTGCATTTATTTCGATCCTTATGTGTCCCTGGGATCTAACCTGGTGCCTGACATCAATAGGCACTTGCTAAAGGAGAGAATTTATGAGTGCATGAATACACACATGTCTGAGTCAGGCAGGGAGGGAAGAAAGGAGGAGACCTATGTTCTAGTCCCAGCTCTGCCATGACCTTCTGCAAGGTCTTTCCAGGCTGGATGATCTTGGGGTCCTGAATTGAGGTACATTCCCTAAGTGTGAATTCTGTACCTGGTTTTACTGTAGTCACCCCTTCTCCAATGCTTTCCACAATGCCGGCTGCCTCATGGCCCAAGATCATAGGGAGAGGTGTGATGAGCGTTCCACTAACCACGTGATCATCGGAGCGACAGATTCCTGAGGCCACCATCTATAGGGTAAAGGGAGGATGATTAGATTTAGAAAAGATTAGGACCCTTTCCTTTTCCTCATCAAACAATTTGGAATAGTCTGTGAAATAATTGTTTCTGAAATATTTAAATCTTATTTAATATACAAGAATGTATCCATTTTTATAGAAGTAGAAATTGCAGCTTAGCACTAGGAAAATTGTCACTTAAGTTCTACCATCTGATGCTAATTGATTTTGACATCTTGATGTATATACCTTTGCACTTTTTGTCCTGTACAAACACACAAGTTCTTTTTTATTTTATTAGGATTATTGTATATACTCTTTGATTCCTTTTTAAAAATTTGACGATTTGTATTTATATCTTTCTTTGACAATAAATGTAATTCCACTGTTTGGATCACCATATAAAAAGTGTCTCTTAATGGATTTTTGCTTATTTCCATTTTTACCATTTTCTGAATTTTTTAAACCTAAAACCAAATAGAAATGGAAAAATGTTTCACCTTAATACGAACTTCATGGGCCTTAGGGGGTGCAACCTCCACCTCCTCAATGGAAAAGGGTTTCTTTATCTCCCATAGCACAGCTGCTTTGCATTTGATTACCTGGAAATTGAATAGAAAGATGATACCAGTTTTTCCCCACTTTTAAAGTCAGGGAGAGTGACTTTCATTTTTTTATGTGCAACATCTAGCCCCATGTCTGGAACCTAACAAGGGTTCCATAGAAATGAAGAACCTCTCATTTACAAAGAGAATAAAAATACCTTTTAAACAACAGGCAACGCAATAACATAAGGAAAGAGAAACAGAATTAACTATAATGAAACATTGAGACAAAAGGGAATATATTCTTTTAGACCATCTTAATGTTGGTTTTTCTTCTCCAAGGGTTGTTTCTTCCTGATATTTTTTTTTTTTTAATTTTATTGTGTTATGTTAGTCACCATACAATACATCATTGGTTTTTGATGTGGTGATCCACGATCTATTGTTTTCGTATAACACCCAGTGCTCCATGCAGTACGTGCCCCCCTTAATACCCATGACCGGGCTAAACAATCCCCCCTCTACACTCCCCTCTAAAACCCTGTTTGTTTCTCAGAGTTCATAGTCTCTCATGGTTCATCTCTCCCTCCAATTCCGCCCCCCCATTTTTCCCTTCCTTCTCCTAATGTCCTCCATGCTATTCCTTATGTTCCACAAATAAGTGAAACCATATGATAATTGACTTTCTCTGCTTGACTTATTTCACTTAGCATAATCTCCTCCAGTCCCATCCATGTTGATGTAAAAGTTGGGTATTCATCCTTTCTGATGGCTGAGTAATATTCCATTGTATATATGGACCACATCTTCTTTATCCATTCATCTGTTGAAGGACATCTCGGCTCTTTTCACAGTTTGGCTATTGCGGACATTGCTGCTCTGAACATTGGGGTGCATATGGCCCTTCTTTTCACTACATCTGTGTCTTTGGGGTAAATACCCAGTAGTGCAATTGCTGGGTCATAGGGTAGCTCTATATTTAATTTTTTGAGGCACCTCCACACTGTTTTCCAAAGTGGCTATACCAACTTGCATTCCCACCAACAGTGTAAGAGGGTTCCCCTTTCTCCACAACCTCTCCAACATTTGTTATTTCTTTCCCTGCCCATTTTTGCCATTCTAACTTGTGTAAGGTGGTATCTCAATGTGGTTTTGATTTGGATTTCCCTGATGGCTAATGATGATGAACATTTTTTCATGTGTCTGTTAGCCATTTGTATGTCTTACTTCAGAGAAGTGTCTTTTCATATCTTCTGCCCACTTTTTGACTTGATTATTTGTTTTTTGGGTGTTGAGTTTGAGAAGTTCTTTATATATCTCAGATACCAGCCCTTTATCTGTAATGTCATTTGCAAATATCTTCTCCCGTTCTGTGGGTTGCCTCTTTGTTTTGTTGACTGTTTCCTTCACTGTGCAGAAGCTTTTTATCTTGATGAAGTACCAAAAGTTCATTTTTGCTTTTGTTTCACTAGCTTTTGGAGATGTATCTTGAAAGAAGTTGCTGTGGCCGATGTCAAAGAGGTTACTGCCTATGTTCTCCTCTAGGATTTTGATGGATTCCTGTCCACATTGAGGTCTTTCATCCACTTTGAGTTTATCTTTGTGAATGGTGTTAGAGAATGGTTGAGTTTCATTCTTCTGCATGTGGCTGTCCAATTTTCCCAGCACCATTTATTGAAGAAACTGTCTTTTCTCCATTGCATGTTTTTTCCTGCTTTGTCAAAGATTATTTGACCATAGAGTTGAAGGTCCATATCTGGGTTCTCTATTCTGTTCCATTGGTCTATATGTCTGTTTTTATGCCAGTACCATGCTGTCTTGGTGATCACAGCTTTGTAATATAGCTTGAAATCGGGCAACGTGATGCCCCCAGCTTTGTTTTTCTTTTTCAACATTTCCTTGGTGATTTGGGATCTTTTCTGGTTCCATACAAATTTTAGGATTGTTTGTTCCAGCATTTTGAAAAATGTCATTGGAATTTTGATCGGGATTGCATTGAAGGTATAGATTGCTCTGGGTAGCAGAGACATTTTAACAATGTTTATTCTTCCGATCCATGAGCATGGAATATTTTTCCATCTTTTTGTGTCTTCTTCAATTTCTTTCATGAGTGTTCTGTAGTTCCTAGAGTATAGATCCTTTACCTCTTTGGTTAGGTTTATTCTGAGGTATCTTATGGTTTTTGGTGCTATTGTAAATGGAATCGATTCTCTAATTTCTCTTTCTACAGTTGCATTGTTAGTGTATAAGAAAGCAACTGATTTCTGTGCATTGATTTTGTATCCTGCAACGTTCCTTAATTGCTGTATGAGTTCTAGTAATTTGGGGGTGGAGTCTTTTGGGTTTTCCACATAAAGTATCATGTCACCTGTGAAAAGAGAGTTTGACTTCTTTGCCAATTTGAATGCCTTTTTTTTCTTTTTGTTGTCTGATTGCTGTTGCTAGGATTCTAGTACTATGTTGAACGATAGTGGCGAGAGTGGGCATCCTTGACGTGTTCCTGATCTTAAGGGAAAGGCTCTCAGCTTTTCCCCATTGAGGGTGATATTCGCTGTGGGTTTTTCATAGATGGATTTTATGAACTTGAGGAATGTTCCCTCTATTCCTATACTCTGAAGAGTTTTAATCAGGAAAGGATGTTGTATTTTGTCAAATGCTTTTTCTGCATCAATTGAGAGGACCATATGGTTCTTCTCCCTCCTCTTGTCAATGTGTTCTATCCCATTGATTGATTTGCAAATGTTGAACCACCCTTGCATCCTGGGGATAAATCCCACTTGATCGTGGTGGATGATCCTTTTAATGTATTGTTGGATCCTATTAGCTAGGATTTTGTTGAGGATTTTGGAATCCATATTCATCAGGGATATTGGTCTGAAATTCTCCTTTTTGATGGGGTCTTTGCCTGGTTTGGGGATTAAGGTAATGCTGGCCTCATAGAATGAGTCTGGAAGCTTTCCTTCTGTTTCTATTTTTTGAAACAGCTTCAGTAGAATAGGTATTATTTCCTCTTTGAATATTTGGTAGAATTCCCCAGGGAATCCATCAGGCCCTGGACTCTTGTGTTTTGGGAGGTTTTTGATCACTGCTTCAATCTCGTTACTGGTTATTGGCCTATTCAGGTTGTCAATTTCTTCCTGTTTCAGTCTTGGGAGCTTATAGGTTTCCAGGAAGGCCTCCATTTCATTCAGATTGCTCAGTTTATTGGCATAGAGTTGTTGATAATAATTTCTAATAATTGTTTCTATTTCCTTGGTGTTAGTCATGATCTCTCCCCTTTCATTCATAATTTTATTAATTTGGGTCCTTTCTCTTTTCTTTTGGATATCTGGCCAGTGGTTTATAGATCTTATTAATTCTTTCAAGGAACCAACTTCTAGTTTCGTTGATCTGATCTACTGTGTTTCTGGTTTCTAATTCATCGATTTCTGCTCTAATTTTAATTATTTCTCTTCTAATGTGTGGCTTAGGCATCGTTTGTTGCTTTTTCTCTACTTCTTTAAGGTGTAGAGTTAGTTGGTGAATTCGGGATTTTTCTTTTTTGAGTGAGGCTTGGATGGCTATGTATTTCCCCCTTAGGACCGCCTTTGCAGTATCCCATAGGTTTTGGACCAATGTGTTTTCATTCTCATTGGTTTCCATGAACTGTTGAAGTTCTTCTTTGATTTCCTAGTTGACCCAAACACTCTTGAGCAGAGTGGTCTTTAGCTTCCAAGTGTTTGAATTTCTGCCAAAGTTTTTCTTGTGATTGCGTTCCAGTTTTAAAGCATTGTGGTCTGAGAATATGCAGGGAATAATCTCAATCTTTTGGTATCGGTTGAGACCTGATTTGTGACCCAGTATGTGGTCTCTTCTGGAGAAAGTTCCATGCGTGCTTGAGAAGAATGAGTATTCTGTTGTTTCAGGGTGGAATGTTCTGTAAATATCTGTGAGGTCCATCTGGTCCAATGTATCATTCCAAGCTCTTGTTTCCTTGTTGATTTTCTGCTTAGATGATCTGTCCATTGCTGAGAGTGGAGTATTGAGGTCTCCTACAATTAACATATTGTTATCAATATGACTCTTTATTTTGGTTAACAGTTGGCTTATGTAGATGGCTGCTCCCATGTTGGGGATGTAGATACTCACAATTGTTAGATCTTCTTGTTGGATAGACCCTTTAAGAATGATATAGTGTCCTTCTGTGTCTCTTATTACAGACTTTAGTTTAAAATCTAATTTGTCTGATATAAGAATTGCTACCCCAGCTTTCTTTTGAGATCTGCTGGCATGGAAGATGGATCTCCATCCCTTCACTTTCAGTCTGGATGTATCTTTAGGTTCAAAATGAGTC